ATCCTATTTCTGTATGCATAAATAAATAAATCTTTTTTAAAAAGAGGCAAAAGGTAAGGAATGAAGAGGTATTTCTACCTGTGGTAAATGAGCAAAATGATTGTGCGCTGTTTATAGTGGCACTGCTATAAACTCCAGCTCCTACAATTCTTCAAGCCTTCCCACACATATGAAGGCATTTACAGAGAATCACCAACACAAATCTCTTTTTATCTCAGATAAGGGCTATTCTTCAACTAAGTGGCATGCATTTAATTTACTTCCTTTTCTTTTAAAGGCTTCCCTTAGTATACATTTCATCACATGTTAACTGAGTAACAGTGGTCATGAAGAATTAGAGTCTACCACTTCTTGAGTACAGATGTCTACATGGGTGGTCTCCAATCAGAGGTCTGACTGGATTTTTTGACTCAAAATGTAAAACTTCACATCATTCCAGGAGAGAGGGGATTTTCAAGGATACAGATTAAAAATTTTTAGATATTGAAAAGATGATATATTAAGTCTGGATAAAGCAAGTTGCCTGAGGCTAGACCTCTATTCCTTTGGAAACATTTTTTTTTTTCTATTTAGGAGAAAAATATCAACAAGCAAAGTCAGAAAACTATTCAAATTTTAAAGATGGTTAGTTAGCATTTGTCACTTTCTCCCATGTTTTTATCTTCCAGTGAGGAAAAGGAAATTTATTTCACTCAAAAAAATAATGTCTTATTACATAATATTGGTCAATTTAGTGTAAGTATTTTTCATTTCCTCCCTTTGGTTGAATCTAATAAAAGATAGTTATTAAGAGAGAAGTATGAGAAAAGCGATATTTCTCTTGCCACATTACAATATGTCAATACTAATGCAGATATTATTAAGGAAACAGTTACCACTTTTAAATAAAATGATCCCCCAAATGATCGCTGTGAATCCACAAATGTATTTGCTGGCAAATTCTAATCAGTCTATTAACATTCTTAAAAGCACAAACAGCTCATGAAGATCAAAATGTAAAACAAATTTTTATATAAATGAAGGCTTTATCTATAAAAACAAGGGCTGAAGTACCAGAAAGTACTATGAAGCTATTTTGTTTTTATTAACTACCACTGTTACAGAAGAAGAAACATTTTATAAATTGAAAATCTAATGACACTTTAAATCTCATCTGAAGTAGTCAATGGAAAGAGAAAAGAGTTCAGTGAGAGGGAGTTAGGAAGTAAAATTTTATTTAGCTTTTCTGTTAAATAAAAGAAAATTTAATGCAAAGAGGATAGATAAGGGCAACAGTACTCTAAATTTATGTGCTGCAGAACAATGAGTGCCGAAAGACTCTAGAACACTGTTAGATAAAACTGAATTATTTTATAGCAGTTTCAGTCCAATAAAAATAGAAAACCAGGCTTAATAAAATAACTCAAACATGACAAAGATAGTGCGAATAAAATAAAGCTGCCACCACGGGTCCACATGTTGGCCCTTCCACAAATATTAACAGCTGCTTAACCATAGTGAGCATATGAGACTGAAGTCAATTCACTTGCCACAGGAGCATGAAACATCCTGAAAGTTGTACCCTTTGTACTACATTAGTATTTTTATTCTAATCTTCAAGGATGATGGTGATTGATTTCCAATAGCAGCATCAACAAATTATAAGGGGACATGGCTTTTCGGAAATGTCCACCCAAGTTGGAGGCAAGGATCTGGGACATGCTGCAGGTTGCCCTCAAGGACGGAGTAAGTCAGGTGAGGAAGCTCCCTTCAGCTGGGGCTGAGAGGACCTCAGAGCTCACTCCCAACTCAGCTGGAGGCACGTTGGAGGCTCAGGAGCAAATCACTGTACACAGAATTTGACTGCTGCAGAGTGCCAGCTGTCAGAAGCTGAAGTTAAGTCTACACAACTGAACAACGGCCTCTAATGAGCACATATGAACTATTTTTTTCCTGTGATGTTCAGGTCATTTCTTTAATAATGACATAACATGAGAAATGCCATATTTTGTTCAAAGATACTAAATCCATATTTTAGATATGGTGATTATCTCTCTTGTTCATTCTTGTTCACAGTAGTGTATATTAGGATATGCCCCTAGGCAAGTAATTATACCATGCTCTACAATCATTCAAGACAAAGATTGATTTATTTCATTTAGACAATCCGGAATGAATAGTAATTTTTAAAAATAGTTACATTCCTATTATTTATTTTATATCCATCCTATGTAAAAGTTGTTTGATTTGAGGTAGGCACCTCTATTGTCATGTCCCTTTATTGATACCACGAAATTACTTCCCATTTAAATATAAATTGAAGAATTTCTGTAGATAGAATAAGTTACCGACAGTTTTATAAGTGTGCGGGTTTGAGAAGAATAAAGCATCTTGTGTAACTTTTTCTAAAAATGTTAATATTCTTTACCAATAATTTATAGGATCCTTTACTCTTAAGGATTCCCATTTTTAACATGATATCTCAGTAAGTAAAGGAAGGTTGAGCATTAGTTTTCCTTCTTGTAGCCAGCAGGCCTGAAAAGGTATATTTCTAGAATGGAATAATAAAGGTAGGTAAAATAAATTATTTCTACATTTGCGAAGTTCTAATTCAATTTTAAATGTATTGCCTGCAGTTAGATCATGGGGTGTTTGTGAAAGGATTTCAATTTAAAATGGAATGAACAATAAGTCAATAAATAAAATGGAACCAAGAATATGAAATGGAGAATCTTGCCCACACACCCTCATAAGAACAGAACTGAGAGACTGATTTCCTATAAATACCTGATTTACAAAAGAACAAGACTTATCTTCCGACCAAAGAACATCTGCCAGAATTCTCCCCATCCTCAAGCAAAGGAACATATTGCTTGTATTCTAACTTGACTTCCCTTCTTGAAACTCTACCCATAAATACAGCCTATCCCAACCCATCAACAGACCATGCCACAGCGGCTGCTATAGCATATTCCTCAAATTTCATTTCATCTGCTTCTCCCAATAAACTCATAATCTGAACTTACTAAATGTACCTCTTTATTTCAGTTGACAAGGTGAGAAGACCTCTGATGCTAGTTTTATGCAGTTAATGTGATCTAAGTGATGTGTTCCCACCAATTCATGGTCTTTTTAAATGACTTTCACCAAAATGACTTATTAGAAACAGTGAAAATGAAACAATATAATGTTGTTAGGTAGTATATTCATCAATGTATTGTTGGTATATGATAGAATTTTGTTTTTTGATATTCTTCTAAAATAATTTCTCTCTTTGAATAAAGACACATTTCCTATCAAATATTCATTTGAGGGGAGATAATAGGCTTTAATAGTGTGAATATTTAAGTGAATACCATCTGAGTGATTGCTTATTTGACCATTTAATAGTTGTGTGATCTTTACCACAGTACTTAAATGACATTATCTTCCATTTCCAACAACTGAAAGAGAAAGGTGATAGTAATATCTCTCTGTTTGTGGAGAAATTAAATTTTAAAATGTACACAAAGCTTTAAGTACAATGCTTACCCATAATAAGTGGTTTGATACAATTATTTTTAAATAATCAATTTGAAGACACGTATCCTAGTATTATGATTTCAAAGTTCTTAACCATTCTAAATTTTGTCTGGGGTTAATGGCAATTTGAGAATCTAAACTGAGCTTGTGTTTTGTCCTAGTATCTTTCTGCTAGAATAATTTATTTCTAAGGACGCTTGTAAATATTAAGGTAGGGAAAGTAACACATGAAAGCTGACACCAGCAAGATCAACAATGCAAACTTTAAGAAAATAGCACTTGGAATTGGATCAGACATAGTTTAAAATAATTTTGCCTAAACATCAGTGAGAAACAGATTTTCCTTAGGAAGTTTAGAACAGTCACTGTGAAATGTACAGACTTAAATGTGACTTAATAAGGAGTTCTCTTTACTAGTTCAAATTATACCTCTAGATCTCACTACTTCTCAGTTACATTTTGACTTTTTTTTGTTTCTATATCTCTTTGATCAATAATATCTATAATTATCTATTTGTCATATAAGAGAAAGAGAAATATGAAGTCTTTTCTGATAGAATATTCCAGTTCATTCATAGAATGAAGCACAGTAGAAAAATAATTTCACTTTTAGAATGCAAAAATAGCCTACAAGCAAGCTACAAACTATTAAAAGGTCTTCATGAAGTGAAATAACAGAGCAGATAAAAATTCAGTCTCCTTGTTAAATGTGATTAAGATTTAGATAAAATGTTTTTCATCAAACATGAACAATATGACCAGAAAACAATATTCTAACTCTTTGCAGTTGCTGCCATTTACCTTTCCAAAATCTCCAATGCCTGAAGCCACACTCCTTCCTCACCTGTGCCTGCTTTCCCTAATAGGCTTCCAAAATAGCTATTTCCAAAAGTATTTTTTCTGTTGTCTGGCATTTACTCATAATTTCAATACATACTTTTAAAAAGTCATCTAAAATTATTAAGCAAACCATAACTTTTCAATATCAAATTAAGACATTCTGTACAGTCTGAAAGCCCATAATGTACTGATTAAAATACATACTTGAAAACATGTGCCTTTTTTTTTTTAAATCAATGCAATGTTATCAACCAACGAACGCCTCCACAGGCATCAAACAATTAAAAACTATTGTTTAATATAAAATGCTAAGCATGCGCATTTCCAATAACCCCCCGCACCTCCAATAACCACACTAAAAACAAATGTCAAAGACTCTGTAAACTTTTTCAAATAACAATAAATGTCTTGATGGTTCATGAACATTATCCTAGTACAACTAAGTATATATGGCAAACAAAATTCCCCTTTTTTTTTCCCCTGAAAGACTGGGAAACAATGTTTCTTTAAATGGACTGTGCTGATAAAGCTGGGATTGAATGTTATTTCCTGGTTTTAAAAATAGAAATTAGCTCATTCTTTTATCTTCACATCTGCAGGTACACAAATAACCTAAGTAGATGATGTAAAACCGAGAATACAGTTTTAGAAAAGCTTACCGTTGTCGTTTTTCAACATCCCGTTGCTGAGTTGTTTCAATCTCTTTTGATGTGATTTGCCATTGTAATGGATTTGTGCTTGAGCGGCCGAATTCAGCTGAATGTTACACACGTTACACAAAGTAAAATTGGTATGCTTCTTTTCTCTTTCAGGTTTCTCTTCAAAGTCATCAGGGAAGAATTCAGCCTCACTCTCTCCATCTTGTGTACAGGTGAAATCTAGGGGTGCAAACAGAAGTATGAACAAACAGACCAAGATTTTTGTTTATTATTAAATTGCGTAGGAAATATCAAACATGAACATCTGACCAGAATATAATATTGGAACTGTGTAGTACCTGTTATTTTGACTTTCCAAAGTCCCTAAAAGTAGGAATTCTCGAATTTTTATCAAAATTTCCACTTCTTCCTATTTTAATAAGTTGCTTTTATACTATTCAAAAGTAGGTAGCCTAAGAAATACAAATGGAGAAGCCTCCCTGGTGGTACAGCAGGTTGAAGCGCAGCACTGAGAAAGGAAACTCAGCACTTCTGCATGAGTTCGAGCCCTGCCTGCCCTGGGGGTGACCCACATGGTGCGGCAGACCTCTCCCAACCGGCCCGCTCCCCTCTGCAATATACGTTGTCAGTCAGCCTGTTTTTCTCCCCACTCTGGTCTCTGGTGAATCCTCTCACTGCCCCTGCACCTCTGGCCTGTACCCTAGTTCTGTATGCATAAATAAATAAATCTTAAAAAAAAAAATACAAATGGCGTACCATTTACTTTTTTTTTTAATGTCAAACCACACATTAAATGCCCAACAGGTATTTAACACACATTATTTCATTAAGTTTTCATAACAATGGAAGACACAGTATAGTTTTTCTGTTTTTTACTGAGGAAATTAAGGTTTACAGTGGATGCATAACTTATGTAGGGTCATACAATAAATATAGTTGGGATAAACATTTAATTTTATTCCAAATCCCTCTTAGAGTATACATTCTAGTTGTATTATGAATATTTCAAAACTTTTTCCTATAGTTGAGTTATATGTTGAAATCTTTTATACTAAATAAAATTATATATTAAAAAATCAAATAAATGATAGTATATTTGTTACTGTGATATAGTCAAAAATATAGAATGGAAAGATTTTGTAAATGAGAAGTTCTTTGGATATAATAATCAAAAAGCTACATATTACGCATACATATAGTGCCCATCTATATAAAAGACATACAACTGAGATGGAAAAATGCACAAAAATATTTAAAAATAAACTAATATAATAAATTTTTAAAAAGATATACAAGTAACCCTTAAAATGTTATCAATATTTGATTCTCAGTTGTGATATTATTTACATTTTCCCTTTATCATTTTTATATTTGAAATTTTTACATGACAACTTAAGACATTTCTTATGAAAAAAATCAGTATCTTTGAAAGAAATAGCCAAAAAGACCTTTCCAAAATTGATCAAGCTGTGTAGATTTCCCAAGCATGTGAGCCCTTATGACAGTTTTGCCATATATCTGTATATATGTTGGTAAGAAAATATTTCCCTGCCTGAGTTACATTGTCACCTTGACATGTAGAATTACAACGCAACGAACAATGAAGGAATTTTGAAGAAATTTTCTTCTAAGGCTCTGAGATTTGTTTGCATACAAAAGAGGCGTTCCTTGAGCACAAGAAAAAGTGAAGATTATACCCCAGAGTCAATAACTAATTTTGCAATGAGACAGAAAGGACAAGGAAAGAGAAAACAAGGTATGTCTATGTGTTTGGAAAGAGGATGTCAAATTCTTGTGACAGGGACGTGACATCACAAAAGCATTTATGGTCTTTGCAATAAAATTGCAATGCCTCAAATAGCACTCTCTGAAGTAGGAGGGAATAACACAAGCAGATTTTATTCTGACAGGATAAAAATAGTCTAAATTCTGAACAGAAATTTTGCTGACTTTAGTTCCATTGAAAAAAAATTAAAGGAGTGTAATAGGCTTTGAGCACCTGTTTTTGAAACACAAACACTTTATCGATTTATTCATGGTTTTTTCCATCTAACTTTTATCTCTTCTCCTACCTCTAAACCATTATGAAAGTCTGTGGCTTAATGCAAAAATGTGGATCTAGACTGTATGCATAATAGTTTGAAGCATTAGAATTACACCAAGGATGACTACAGTAAGAATTAGGTATTTGCTTGTGTGTGTTTCTTAATTTTGTAGATGTGGAGTTCAAATTAATTTTATTGATCCATAAAAATAATTAAAATGTAGCATACATGAGAGAATTCTTCTTTGTAATCTATATTAAACAATATATTTGAGCACAATTTGAGAAAAAGAAAACTGAAAATGATATTTCTCAAGGGAGCAACATGAGTCTTGCAGTTGAATTACATCACATCGTTTTGACCCACTTGAGAACTTTATGAGACAAAAGCTGAAATGCAACTATTTGCACCAAAATATTAGTAATTTTCATATTGAGACTTCCCTGAAGAGTGCTGATCATCATTTCCCCACCTGATCCCAAGTGTAACAGGTGGTCCTCTCCTGGTAGACCCTAAAATTAGCTTATAATCATAGAATAACAGATTTATAACCAAAAATTGGAGATTCAGAAGCCAACTGACAGAGTACCTAGTGACCAATGCTCAAAACCTTTATCTTCCTGGATTGCAACCCAAAGTATAACATAAATATCAGTGGGCATATACTTTCATAAAACAAATAATGAAGAAGATAGAAGTGTCCTTTATAGAAGGATTCCATATAATTTACAAATACTCCCCTCTCAAGGAAGGATGGAGCATAATTCCCTACTTTAAATGTAGACTATACTTAGGTGTCTTGCTTCCAAGTAGTACAGTACCAGAAAAAGAGAATAAGTAACTACACATTGAATAGACCTGATACTATCTCAGTTACAGAATCAAAGCTAACAACAGTCTAAGTGTTGCTGATAAATGCATCATTGGTGAGAGGTGTTAACAATGGCATTTCACATCCATAGTCTTCCTCACAGAAGCCTACAACCCAAGTCAAATCAGAGAAAAACATTAGGCAAGCTTGAAATGAAGAACATTTATTAAATACTGACAATTATTCCTGAAAACTGTCAAGCTCACGAAAAACAAGAAAAATCAGAGATGTTATCATATGCCAGAGAAGCCAGGGAAATATTAAGACTAGATGAAATGTGATGTCTTGGATGTGATTCTGGAATAGACAAGAACATTGAGTAAAAGGACTAATGAAATCTAAATAGAGGATGGAGTTTCATTATAATAATGTATTATTGTACTATTTACCTTTAGATGTGATATGCTTTTCACTAATCTGTCAGCAGTAGCAGAAACTAAGTGGGTGTTTATGGGAATTCTATTAACTTGGAAACACTTCTGAAAAATCAAAAAATAATCTAAAATGTTTATTTACTTCATTTTCATTTATTTTTATTGAGTTGACATTAGTTATATAGCATTAGTAACAATCTATATAGTTCAGAGATACAGGTTCACATCTCTTCAGTTGTATGTTACCACACTGTGTCCACAAACAGGAAACCAGTATTGTTCCCTGTAGTTCATTTTCTCTCTCTCCGTGGCCCTTAAAACAGAAATTTCTCTAGAAACTGTCTACTCTGAGAAAAAAAAAATTAAAGAAAAAATTTCTCTTCTGATCTTCATACCTAGCATTCATCTCCAAAGCACGAAAAATAAACTGGTTTTCTGGGAGGGTAATAGAAAAGATCATTGTTTCACATTTACACACAAACCGTCTAGATTCTGAGTTTCAAATAAGTCCAATGTTACATTCTCTTCTCTTCTCAGTGGCATATATGAATTTAAAGTGTAACTGCTTAACTCTCCTACAGAGAAGACCAAGAACTCTTCAGCTACCCTGCCTGTGACTAGGGACATGAATTCAATTCAGAAAGGAAAGGGTAAGAGATCTAATAAGGACCATGGTACTGAGCGATGCCATTTTCTCTAATTCAACTTTACCTACTAAATAACTCACCTACTGACTCACTAACAAAGAAACTATAACTCAGCTGAGATTCTATGTCTACTTATGACTAGTTCCAGTCATGATAAAGGATGAGTTATTTTCACACACACACACACACACACACACACACACACACACACACACACTGTGTCATCAAACCAGTCTCCATATAGTAAAGGATTTATAAACTTCAGGTTCTATTTAGTATTTAACCCTACCAAAAGAATGAATAACCATTTTGAAAAAAAAAAATAGTATCTAAAGGAGTATACTTTAGATAACATACAAACCTAATTCCAACAGAGGAAAAATTCCCCTATGCCTAATTTCAATGTTAACCAGCCAGCTGCCACTGTTTTGTCCATGAATGGTTTTACCCCTTTTTTGGATCTGCAAATCTGTCAAAATGACAACCCCCTAAATTCCCTAAGAATTCTATTCTAAAGTAGTTTGAAATGACAATGAAATGACAGTAGATGACATCTGCTGATAGGTAAAAGACAATACACCACAACTTTGAAGGGATTTTACAAACACCAGTGTAAATGGCACAAGTAAACCAAACGATAATCTTG